TTTTTTGGTAAAATTTATTAACCATAATAATTTGCTGGCTGAATTTGGAAAGTATGCGAACTTAAATTGCCGGTTGAATTTGGCGCCTACTACGAGCATTCTTTTTTTGATGACATCAAATTCTCACATAAAGAACCCAACTACGGTATATTAGGTTCTACTGCAATGTTGCAATGTTCTGCATTTCACTAACAACAAAATTCTACAAAAATAGAAAAAAAAATCAGCATATAAATTTAAATTAATATCACAATTAATTAATTAAAGAAATGTAATACTCATCGATCACAATGTTGACGCCACATTGTTATATATGTTGGACAAGTGCATTCGAGGAAAAATACAGCAAGTATTATCGAGGAAAAAAAAAGAAAAAAGAAAAGGGGGTGGGGACCTGATGCAGTGAAATCGTGTACATTGTACACGATTTTCGGGACTTGATGCAGCGAAATCGTGTACGATGAACACGATTTAGAGAAATCGTGTACAATGTACACGATTTTTGATCGCCTGCGTGGCTCCAACTGCAGAGTTGGAGCCACGTCACACAAGACTCGCGTCCTGTGTACATTGTACACGATTTAGCTACCCTATTTTTGGAAATATTTTCAAACCTACCTTATTTTTGTTTTTTTTTTACATTATTAAAAAACAAAGCCCATTTTCATTACAATACAAATAATCATGTTCATTACAATACAAATAATCATGTCTATTATTTGGCATGTTACATTTTTTTTTAAATTGTTATAACAAAAGACATACCTGGAGGTGACAGGGTATTTGCATGCTTGACCATGGTGACACCAATTCTTATGATGTAAGCAAGTCAAGTCTACAAAACCATTAAAGTGCCTAAATCTATGAATTACATAAAATTTACTTAGTTATCCATTCCTTGGTAGTACATGGGCAGGTTTCATGCGAGATTCTACCCAAGAGATGATAGTTGCCACCAAATCTGTGGAGTCAAGACCCACCCATCTAGCTACTCAAACTCAGTCTGTGTTCATCTACTTAAAAAAAACCTTTATACATCCCTAAGCACGCATCAGATTCCATGATTAAACTTTCTGTGAAACTTTAAGGGATTCCAAAAGTAGAGCCATTAATTATTTCTTATTTCTGGATAAACCTAAAATAAATCCAAAAGTATTAGGAATTAATACCAATGATCTATGATTTAACTACAAAAATTTAAACAACCAGACTTTAGAATAATTACCAAAAAATTGAAGCTTCAGGCTAAATGAAAAATACCTAAATATGCTCTTGCTTTGAGATCAAACGACTGAAATTTGATGATCAAAGGTTCATTTTTTTTCTTTTAATAAGAATCGACTGCTTCTCTGAGGGAAAGAAAAGAATAAAGAATTTTAATAGAAATAGAAATTTCTTTGCTAATCATGCCAGTCCCTTTTTAATTTCTTTTCTAATTCGTTCCTTTTTTTTCCAATTAATCTTTTCTCTCCATCTGTCTTATTAAAAAATATATATATTTAATACCTTTATTTAATAAAACTTATCTATCTAATCTAATCCTCTAATCCATCAATAAATCCAAGGACTAAATTAAGTAAAACCCTATTAATCAAGAACATTAAAAAATAACTATCTAATTATACAATTTAAACTACTAAAATATCGGTTACGCTCATAATCATTATCTTTTCTTTTTTGGCATTGACTATTTGTTGTTCGGTTTGACTTGTTTAAGCAAAAACAAACTGTCTATTTTTTACAGGATGGAGTAACGTGCTTGACATGGATTGGCACATCAAGATACCTTGCAACTGGATGTGTCGATGGTCGAGTACGAATATGGGATAGTCTCTCTGGAGAATGTGTAAGGACTTTCACTGGGCACTCTGATGCCATCCAATCTCTCTCGATATCTGCCAATCATGAATACCTTGTTTCTGTTGCTCTCGATAATACAGCTCGGGTTTTTGAGATTGCAGAGTATCATTAAGTAGGATCTTCATACTAACTTTCAATGTTACAAGTTGTGATCCCATTGTTGATTCATCCGTAATGACGAGTTTATACCATTTTATGAGTTTGTATTGGTCTGTCAAGTATGTTTAGGTAAAATTTTTGGTCGATGAGGTTTGATAAATTATATAAGGTAGTCTTTTATGTTTTAGAATATGATAGCTTGAAGTTTTGAATGTTAATTAAATGTTGTGTTAGTTTATATTGTTAAAAAGATTTGTGAAAATTTGATTAGATGGTTTTCTATGTTAATGTGGTTATTTTAACTGTTACCAAATATTTTACAGTGGAAAGATTAAAATTAAATAAATTATTCATCAACATAAATTTAATAGAAACACATATAGTTAATGACTAAGAAATTGTCTCAAATTAATTAACGAACGAATTCTAGCTAAATTAAATATTTAAATAAAAAAAAGGTTGTCACCATTTTTGGGTAAATTCAATAATAACAATGTGTTCAAGTAAAAAAAATCCGTAATTTTTTAAAACAAATTATTAATAAAATGAAAATTTGTGAAAAGTAAGGCAAATTATTTATAAAAGTGGAATAATTTTTTGTCAATGTTTAAAACTTGTATTTGTCGGACGAGAGTTACTTGTGTCGAGTGTGAATTGATGTGTAAAATGAGAGCTGAATTAGAATGGTCAAACTGCTGTCAAAATCTTTTATTAGAAAATCAATTATAATTAAATCTATTTTTTTAAAATCTCTCATTCTACTGTCACTCTCAATCATTCTTAATAGGTGTAAATTTTGTCTTCTGCATAATCTACGTAAGTTATAATGTCTTCATCAAATTTTATTTAAAAAACAAACAATATAATGTCTTAATCAATTAATTTATGGTCACCCAAGAATTTAGAGTATTTTTAAATTCGTATATTCAACTTCGTTGAAAAATGTCTTAATCAATTGATTTATGCTCATGCAAGAATTTTAAGTATTTTTTAATTTTTATATTCAACTTCGTTGAAAATGTCTTAATTAATTAACTTATGCTCATGCAAGAATTTAAAGTATTTTTAAATTTATATATTCAACTTCGATGAAAAATGTGTTATAAATAAATGAAAAATTTGTAATGGACATTTTTTTAATGTTATATCAAGAGAAAACAAAATTTTAAAATTATGACCCATGGAGAATAATTTTATACAACAATGAGAAATTGTTAGATGATGTAACAATATATGTCAGCTTAATAATCATTTTAAATTTTCTTTCATACATCCAATGTGTCAAATATAATCACATTGTTTTAGCTCCTCACATTTTCTCAAGTCAGTCGTGGATCTAAGCATTTCAAATTTTATCACCCTAATCACATCTTGAAACGTCTCGAAGATATACAATTATCACCTATTTGGTCATTAATGGGATTTCTCAGATGAAGGAAACAACAACATGATGGGGAGACATTCAAAAGTTGGTTTTAACTAACCTAATTTTTATTCATTAGATCTAAATGTAAGATACATCTTACTAGTCCGAGCATGACTTAATGGATAAGATATCTATTACCTTTTTCTAAGATTGAAGATTTGATTTCTCATCCTTTATTGAACTAAAAAAATGTGATTAAAAATGTAAATCACATGTTAAGATTATCTCTAGAGTTAGCATTTTTGTCATCACCGAAGATACTTTCCACTCAAATTCATAATGTTTGGAAGTAATTTATAATTACTTTCAGAAAAAAAAAATATTTGTAAGAAAGCACTCCCAAATACTCTTCAATGAAGTACTTAAAATACTTTTATTAAAAATTTATGTTTAAGTATTTTAATCAAAGTAATTTTACTAAAATCACTTATTTTAAAAACACTCTCAAAACACATAGATCTCATAACACATAGATATCAACCACTAGTTGACTATCACTAAACCATCAAATGTCAATGAATATTACTTATTGACTATAACTTTCCAAATATATGTAAAAAAATCCCCAATGTATCATGCGTCGGTTATTTATAGACTATTCTAAGGTAATTCACCTAAGTATATCAATTATCAAACGTAGTAGTTGACAGTGTTTAATTTTACCAAATGTTAAGCAATAAGACATATTCTCCTTCCTTTGAGGTTGGAGGCTTCCTTTCGTGAGTATGTTGAAAATATGAGAGGGTGAAAGTTGTGTCACATTATAAGAAGTTGAGACATTTTAAACTAACGTTTGATCCTTATTCCTGTGTTTTCAGTCACTCATCATAGTCTCAACTTGTTCTTACTCATCATTTCATATATATATATATATATATATATATAACCAAAAATAACTTTTCATACTTCTAAGCTACTACTAGGCTCTTCTTGACAATTTTATAATAAAGCTCTTAATTCAGGTACAACCTATAGAAAGAACGCTTTAATATGATATTTGTCATTTGTCAGTTTGAGTAATGCTTTCTGACATAAAAAATTAGAAAAAAAAATCTAGAATTTTAAAAATTTGAAAAGATGAGAAGTTTCTAACTTGTAGGAACCCAGAAAATTTTTGTGAATTTCAAATTAGTAAAAAATAAATTTTTTTTGTTGGAAATATCGAAGTTCTGACTTTACGGACATGTCAATGTCGATGGATATTTCGGAAAAAATAAAAAAAATGTGGATATTGATATAAATTATTTGAATTAGTAAATAAAACTTTAATTGTAACTTAGTTTAACTATAATTGATCACTTTCAACCATCAAATGTAAAAGTATGAGTAATTTATGTATGGAAATGCCGACATCGTTGAAAATGTAGGAACAAGATACTGAAGATTGATTAAAATTAAAGTTTAATGTCATTTAATTATGTTTTATTGATAATTTCTAATCACATGTACGATGTGTGTTGTTGTGGCAATAATATATACCAACGGTGAAATAAACATAAGGATGAGGCATGAAGAAATTAGTGCAAATTATTTGAATTTGTAGAATTCAATTGTTGCTTTTTTAGATTAAATAAATTAATATAGAAACGAAACACATAAGTAAACAAATAAATTAATAAAAAAGAAATAAATTAAATTTATAAAGAAAGACCGGGAGTCTATAGAATAAAATAGAGGAGAGAGGAGAGAGGAGAATGGTTAAAATGTAAACATTAAAATTAAAAAAATAAACAAGTTACTTGTTTGGTCCTTCCAATCCCATCCCACATCGAAAGTTTTGTGGGAGTGGGAGGGGAACACTTGCTGTCCACAAAAATGGGTTGGGCTGCTATTGTTGGGTTTGCCTGCCATTAGTTAATATTTTTTATTTTGTCGATAAAATATTGTCAATATGTTGCGGTTTTACCGATCGTTTTGTCGATGTCGAGTCATTCGACACGATGACATGTCGTATGAAAACGTAGAAGAAATGAAAAGTAACTATTTATTTTACTATTTGATTATACAATAACTTTATCCTTTCTCTTTCTCTTCCTATATTTTTTTTTATTAGCATAGTTACGTTTATATATTTATGTGATATACATGTAATATACTATTAACATCTAATATACTATTGATATGAATGTCTGATATACTTACAATATGTATATGATATATATCTGATATGATATGAGTATCTATATATATGTATGTGTTATAACATGTAATACTACATATATAAGTGTTAATAGGGTTAATAGGGTTTTCATTTAACCCTCATCCTGCATCGTCAGTCTTCTCCCTTCATCCCTTCTCTTTCCTTTACCCTCCCATTTCTCTCATTAGTTTCTTCGCAGCCCCCACCCTCTTCCTCTTCTCTTATGTCTCTGTCTCTCTTCCTCACCACACATTTCTACTATTAAATCTACTTCATCGATGTTCCAATCTTAACATCAAGGATCTGCCTCATCTTGGTGTTTCCACTTCAAATTTACCCCACCATAAAGCTATTTCTACCTCAAATCTTCCTCATTTAAGGTATCCAAACTTTAGATATGCTTCACTGTTTCAGTTTCACTTCATATCTCTTGGCGTCTCCACTCCACATTTCAAAATCGTGTGTTCAATCTCCAACTCACTTCTGTTTTATTCACAAATCTTCAAACTTGCAACCAAAACATCCAACCAGAGCCCAACCGAAAATTTGAGGGTTGGGTTGGGTTGGGTTGAGTTAAACTCGGTTCGTTCGGGTAACTGAACCAATGAACCCGAAATTTCGGATTGGGCCATATAACCTCTCTAAATCGACCCAACCCAACCCGTGTATACCCCTACCTCCATCTTAAAAAAAAATATATATCTTTCATCACCTTGGTTCTATCAATAAGTATCTCAAAGCAAGCGCATATTTAGATATTTTCTATCTAGCTTAAAGCTTCAATTTTTTTTTGGTAATTATTATAAACTGGATGTGTAATTTTTGTATTTTCTTTTGTAATTAAATCTTAGGCCATTGGTATTAATTTTTAATATTTTAAAAATATTTTAGGTTGAGCCAAAGGATAATTTTTAGATTGTTGTTGAGGTAAGTGGCTCTACTTTCATAATAGTCTTAGGGCTAGATTGGAAATTTTATATGATTTTTGAATGGCTATATGATGAATGTTTATTACTTAGACTCTTATGCTTTTTGTAGTAATACCTTACATAATGAATCTAATAGCTTTGATAGGTATAATAAYAGTACTATTTGGAGCAACTTTAGCTCTTGCTCAAAAAGATATTAAGAGAAGTTTAGCCTATTCTACAATGTCTCAATTGGGTTATATGATGTTAGCCTTGGGTATAGGGTCTTATCGGGCTGCTTTATTTAATTTTCTTACTCATGCTTATTCAAAAGCGTTGTTGTTTTTAGGATCTGGGTCCATTATTCACTCAATGGAATCGGTTGTTGGATATTCTCCGGATAAAAGTAAGAATATGGTTCTTATGGGTGGTTTAACAAASCATGTGCCAATTACAAAAAATGCTTTTTTATTAGGTACCCTTTCTCTTTGTGGTATTCCCCYCCTTGCCTGCTTTTGGTCCAAAGATTAAATTCTTAATGATAGTTGGTTGTATTCACCGATTTTCGCAATAATAGCCTGTTCCACCCACAGCAGGATTAACAGCATTTTATATGTTTCGCATCTACTTACTTACTTTTGAGGGACATTTAAACCTTGCTTGATTTTCCAAATTACAGCRGAAAAACAAATAACTCCCTCTATTCAATATCATTATGGGGTAAAGAAGGATCAAAAATCATTAAAAAAAACTTTCGTTTCTTCTCAGTATCTGTGTAGGGGTTTGGGTTAGGCTGTTTGGTCCGCATAATTTTATGGGATCCCAAATAAAGGTTTTTAACTATTTTGCAAGTTATGGAATTTTCGCTACGACGTTCTTATTTATTACCATTTTTTTCTTTCAATTTAAAAGGTTGAAAGCATGCATTAGTAACATCCCCAGTAGATTTGTCCAAAAAGTCGGATCGTTTGTGTGAAATTACAAACTACACCTCGTTTCTTCTTTTGTTGGGTTTCTCTCTCTTCTCTTTTTTCCCATAATAATTTGGGCATAACTTCCTAAGTATAATACTCATGAGTTGAAGCTAGCCTTCATCACACAATTTAACACCAATCCCAAACCCACTCGAAAAATCAATTTCATTCGTTCCATTAAGGCAGAAATAAGGGCACTCCCAAATTCCCGAATCTCCAGAAGAATAAATAGGAAATGTGTGCAGGTTCAAACGAATGAAGTCCTCACTTCTGTAAAGCATGCTTGCTGGGTCTCTAAATCTGTACACTTTTATGAACTAAATTTTTAAATAGTACTTCTTACCAAATAAAATAAAATATATATTTTTAAAATTTTTGCTGGTAAAAAGTAGTTTGAAAATTATTAACCAAAATAAAAAGCAGTTAAATGCTTAAAAAATACAAATATTTAACTTAAAAATGTTTTGCATGGGTGCATCAATATTCAGGGTTCAATTGCGACAATTTTCTTTATGTAATTATTGTTACCAATAGTCAATATTTCCAACATATCAAAAAAGGTTCCACTTCCAGCCATTCCTTTCTTTTTTTTCGACTGCTTTCTTTTTCACAAAATAATAATAAAACTTGTCATCACTAAGCCGGAAAAGGTCTCAGTCAAAAGTGTCAAAATATTGATATCAATGATCTTTCTAAAAAATTATTGAAATAAAAATTCATAAAACAAATAAACCTCACATTTTAAATGAGTTAATATTATGTCTATTAATTATATTTAACCGATATTCTAATATTCGTTCAAATTTTGATGGAAATGTCCAGTATGTCGAGGAATCTAAGTGCCTATGTTCATTTCTGTAGAGCTTTCGAACGAAATATAGGTATTCTACCACCAAAACTAATATATCTTATTTRTATGAATGTATGTCTATTATACTTAGCTGCGTAATTTCTCATATATTCCAAAAATAATTCTACCGTGATACCGATGGTATACACTTSTAATGAAGTCGAAAAAATCAATTTTCAAAATTTAAAACTGGGCTAAGAAAAAAAGGTACCTGAGAGTCAGATTTTTCCAACCAAAAAAGAAAGATGGCATTCCTAAATAAACAAGCAAACTCACAATAATTAATCCATTCGAGTACAGATTCGTAAGGATCCTTTCTCTCAAAACCAACTCGCGGCGGGCGGTGCTGCACTGTCAACAGCAGGTGCTGGTGGTGGTACTACTGGAGCATCCCATCCATCTGCCGCCCCCGAAGCAGCTGCAAGGAGAAAAAAAAGATTAGTAAGAGAGAATGAGTAGAAAAAGAAAATGAATGTACRAGAGATTATAAATGAAATGTTTAAGGCAAAGCACCAAAATAAGCACACTATTAATTGCTTTATTGAAAACAACTTCAAAATACTTTTGAGTTTATTTTGATTAAAAAAAAAGAATTTCTAAATTGTAGAAGCATAAATATTTGAGTTAGAAACTTTTAACCATCTAAAAGAAGTTAAAGAAGTCACTCTCAAACATAGCCTAAGCATTAAAATATTAAATTAAAAAACACCTTCCATTTTCTTCTGTTCACCTCAAACAAACAACCAAACAAGAACAATCTAACAGGT